AGGAAATAAACATAAATTATGCCTCTTTTCATTTCTCGAATGTACACAAATTATAACACAAAAACATAAATGATTAGATGAAATAGCTTTAATCTCATAACATTATACATTTATATTTATTTATTACTTTTATTATATTGACATTTCACCCATGCCTGGCTAACAATACAGAAGTTACAACGATGCGGCTCACGTGCACTCATGTTACCGTATCAAATAACATAAAGGTGACCTTTGGTCTATACAAAGTAACTTGTCTTGGCTGTGTTTTAATAGACTAGTATTTTGTAAAATACAATCACGTTTCAATTATTATACATTACATATGTATATAGATTATTGCTATTTTGAAATAAGTTCTTTAAAAGTTAATTTTCCTAAAACATAGAACAGTAAGTAAAGAAGTAAAGCAAAGAATTATCTCTTCTAGTTACGACCTTTGTACTTGGTTGCTGCTTGATGTAGGTTGCTAAGCCTTTAAAAATTTTGCACATGGAGGATATGAAACAAAATATTTTTTTTTAGGTTTTATATAAACTACTGAAATAATCTTAAATTTAGGCAACAACTAGCAAATACCACCTGTGAACATTCTGTGTGGCAACTCATTTTTATTAATTCAGTGCCAAACTGGCAATTCATGTGAAACCTTGCAAAGTTGGTAAGACATAGTTAGAAAGTTATATAGTTAGTTGTTTAGATAGATAGATCTAGATTGTGTGATTGTGAGTTTAGCTGTAAAGAGCATAGAGTGTTGATTTCTAAAATGGCATTATTACAGACTGTATTGTAACAACAGAGTAGAGAAGAATAATTTGTCTTGTTAAGTGTGCTCTAAAGTAACTGAACCAAACCTGTGTGGACTATGACAAAAAAAAATAATTATTTTAAACTCTTGATACAGCTGTGATAACCAACAGTGTATAGAACATTTGTATATATGTTTGATTTGTTTTAATATATATTATTTTAAAACAAGTGGACTGTGTGCTGTTTGTTTATTGTTGAAATTTATCACCAACAAGTCACAGACATCTGCTGAAAATAATCTGGCCCATATGTAAAAACCTTACAGTTTGCCTGTCCCAAAGCATAGATTTTTATTTGCTATGAAACTGTCATCTCTTGTTGTTTCTCTTATGATTTTCCTTCTGTGTCTTAAAATGTATTATTACACACCTTACTTCATTGTTCTTTGAGGTCATAAAAGGGTAAAAACAACTACAAATGAAGAGCAGCTGTTAAAGTATTATGGGCAAAGTTTAGATACTGTTGGATAAGGTAAATTATAAACCATTTGCTTCAATGTAAAGTGAAAAAGTTCTATGGGAAGTAAGTTATGATTTGATAACATATTGGCTAACCAGAGCTCCTATAGTTGGTGAAAAAAGGAATGTAGCACATAATTTACAACACTTACTAACAAACCACAGATCTTTATATTTGTTTTAAAGTAATTGCACTTTTCTTTGATGAGAAAATGTTTGGTAAGCCTTATTAAGTTAATAATAAGTAGTGATGGCAAAATATTCTGGTGACTCAAATCCTTGTTTGTTGAATATTATTGTTAAATTTCTCCTATACAATCAATGCAGCCACCAGTGTGGCTTCAGTGGTATGGCTAAAGGCTTATAAACTAAAAACCAGGTTTTGATATTATTGGTGGTCACAGCACAAATAGCCTATTGTGTATCATTGTCTTTAACAACAAAACAAGCCAACATTACATATAAATAAAATAACTTATAACTTATTGAAAAAATATATAATTTACTAGATATAGTTTGATTTCAATCAAAAATATTGTAAGCTATAATACTGTTATGTAGCCTAACCTCACACCATTTTGAAAGTTCAGCTCATAGGTCACCAGTAAATCTGTCATCTTATGCAATATTTTTTTATGATTTATGGCAAAATAAACTTTTAAGATGTATGTTAATGTAAGTTTGTCAATTGAAATTGGCAGGATATATAAAATGGAACTTTGTGATCATTGATAAAACAAAGTGAAATTCTATGCTGAAAAAAAATATTTTTAATGTTTTTCAAATAATGTTTAGCAACAAAATTTTGGAAATTTCATAACAGACAATAATAAAAAACTATTACAAATTGTGAATTTTTTTTTCAAATTTAGATAATATTTACAGGGTTTGCATAAGTCAAGAAACTTCTGGAAACACGTGGAATTTTATAAAAATATTTTTCAGTAGTGGAAATCCTTGAAAATCAGTGTTGTTTTTATCAGAAGGTCCTGGTGAAGTCTAACCCCATTGTTCCCACCTCCTCACTGTACCACTGTGTTTATCTCAGTTTCACAAAAAGCTGTTTGTGTAAAACGTGACTCTTAAAGTGGTAATTATAACTACTTGGTAACACTAATTAGTAATAAATTTTGAGATGTTTACCTCCATCTGCAAGGCAGCAGATGTCATTTGACAAGTGTTGGAATGATATTGTTAGCATTAAAAGAATTAAAGACTCGTTTGGTAGAACATTGAAGTTTCAGAGATTTTCTAATTTTATCATTAGCGTAAACTCTTCAATAATTGATTATTTTTCACTTATTTAAAACAAATATTAATGCTTGTTGTTAGGCAACTAGTGACCAAGCTAAGGCTGCAGAGATGAAGATGTTTGGCAATATGACTAGAGAAAAGTGCGAGTGGCATCCACATCCTTTCCTGTGTAAAAGGTTCAACATTCCAAACCCATTTCCAGAGTAAGTTCTATCTTGTAAATTTTTCAATAAAAAAATCAATCAGTGTTGTGTTTAACATTGTATTCACAAATAAAGGGGATTTTCGGAGCATGATTTATAAAATGTTATATTCACATAGATGTATTGAAGAAATAGATCCAATGTTTAGTAGTACACAATAAATAATTAAAAATGAAACTGTTCCTGGTTTCAAGATATAATAAAAATTGTTTTGCTTGATAATCTACTATATAAAGATAAAATACTGTGAGGCTGGGAACAGTCTCATACACTCTACATATTTTATCATCTTACTGTACCATCATCAGGAGTGCAATATTTTGCACAAGTTAATACCTATATATATATATATACACCTTCAAAAATTGGATGATCAAATTTACATACAATTTAACTAACAGAATTTCACACCATCTATTAACAACATTTCCCTCTGATACTTGATACTTTAAAATTATCTTTATTACATTTGATTATCTCAGTAGATTCATGGCTATCATTACCGTTGATGCTTGCAGATTGTGGTAAAATAACAATTTTTCCCATTGAATTACATGTTTAGTTTCATTAGTGTGTTCAGCTAAATGCAAAATCTTTGTATTATTATTTCTTTTGTGTTCATTTATCCTGTATCTTAAATTTCTTCTTGTTTGTCCAATATAAATATTTCCATATTTGCATATTATTTTGTGTATACCAGTTTTTCCATTAAATCAATTTTATCTCTATATTAGAAACCTGGCTAATGTTGTTCATCAGTCTATGTATCAAAGATATTTTGTTTTCTGAATTGCTGCATTATATGACAAGGTAAACCAAGTATAAATGGTAATACAAGTCTGTCTTTCTTAGTTTTTCAGCAAATGGTTTTAATGTAACATTTTTTGTCCCTGTCTTTTCATTTCTTGACAGCTCTGTCAACAATTAAAAACTTTTTATACTGCTACATATTTGATTAGTAATAACTTGTTAATATCTTCCTGTTTACAATATAATTTTGAAATTCTGTTCACATAAGAATAATAAGAATTGATCAGTCTGTTTCATAATCATATGTCACATCAAAAATCATGTCACACTATTTCTAAAAAAAATCACTATTTGTTGATCAAGAGTATTATTTAGAAATATCCCAAGAGTTGGCAGTGGGTGGTGTTGACTAACTGCCTTCCCTCTAGTCTATAATTTCAAAATTAGTAATGGTTATAGCAGATAGCCCTTAAATAACTATTCATGAAAAATCAACAAAACATTCTGTAGTGTTACACAGTCTTTTTATAATATACCTTGTTTATCAGCAACAGAAAGTTATTTCCTCCAGAGCTACACAAGTTTTATATTCTATACCCTGTTCTTGAACAGTTAAGAGTTACTTCCTCAATAGTTACATGGGTTTTATATCCTATATGTTGTTCCTTAACAACTGAGAATTATTCCCTCTATAGTTACATGAGTTTTATGTCCTATTCTTTGTTCCTTGACAACTGAGAATTATTCCCTCTATAGTTACATGGGTTTTATGTCCTATTCTTTGTTCCTTGACAACTGAGAATTATTCCCTCTATAGTTACATGGATTTTATGTTCTATTCTTTATTCCTTGACAACTGAGAATTATTCCCTCTATAGTTACATGGATTTTATGTTCTATTCTTTATTCCTTGACAACTGAGAATTATTCCCTCTATAGTTACATGGATTTTATGTTCTATTCTTTATTCCTTGACAACTGAGAATTATTCCCTCTATAGTTACATGGGTTTTATGTCCTAGATGTTGTTCCTTAACTCTTTTAATACGGACTCGATCCCTGGGACCGAGTCACGTGACCTTCTGTCCTCTTTTAAAGTTGACATAAATTTAATACTTATAACTTCCTATATATTGGGTATATCTTCACGAAATTTGGCAGTCTTTCGGTTAATATTTTAATAAAATAAAATAAAGTTTTGTCGTTACGCTAAACAATTACGTTACCGACGAGCTGCTCGCGTGTGTGTTTCGTGAACAATTTTAATTATATTATTATTATTACTTATTTTACCTATTCTAGTTTTCAATAATTTAAGAAGATCCATACTTTTAATTTTAGATACTTTTATAATAATAAATAAAGAATAAATATAAAAAACCTGAAATAAAGTACTTACCCAATCTTCTTTTTTTCTTGCCCTCTATTGTCAAGTAGAGTTAAGCCTGATTTTTTTTAGCGATTATGGTAAAGCATTGAACAATTTTTATTTACTTAAATAATACCCCAAAGAATATAGACTAATAACATGCAAAAAGTAGACAAATTCAC